CCTACCAACAAAAAAAATTATATTACGTACAATTAGGGATCTACGCTATTATTTAATTTGTTAGTTATTCTATATCTATCTCAAAACAAAGTACGTATACAATCAATGAAATCACACACTAAAAATTTAAGTAATTTTTGTTTGTATTTATTTATCATTTACTAATAGCAAGTTATCATTTACTTTTAAAAAATATTGTTTTTTTCGTTTACTTAATTAAGTCTAGGCTCTCCATAGTCTTCACTAATAAAACCCTTGCAAATATTTAAACTTTTGGACACTTTTTTTTTTTGGTAATCTAAACTTTTGGACACTTTATATATCTATATATACATTTTTGGAGACATTTATTAAATAAACCCTGGAGTTCCAACTTATTTACAAGAGAATGTCATTGTCATAAATGTTTATCTTTTAATTAATATTAAAAAATATTTTCGAAATTATCTTTTAGAAACTATGGCTTTCAAATATGGTAACAAATTGATTTGTTTCTAAATTTTCCTAAAATATCTCTACCTAATTTAAACATTAATATATGATTCTTCTTTCACTTTTATATGATCTTATAGCTATTTATTTTGAATTTATATAAAATACATATAATTAATAAAATAATAGATTTTTTCTGCATATTATGTGATTCAAATTTTTTAAAACGGACATATATTACTCAATCGATGAAGAAAAAATATGTGTACAATGTCCCACATTGCTTAAAAAATTAGACAATGATTCGGAATCATACTATAAAAGGGACCAAAATGATTCTGAATACAAAATGGGGTTATATGGTGGGACGAGTTTGGGTCGATATTAATACAGGATGGTATACCACGGGTGAAACCTAGAATTAAAAATAAAAATATAATTATATAATCTTAAATACTAAACAAACCAAACAATATTAACAAAACAAATATAACTTCAAATTTTTTTTTTTTTTGTCAACCACACATTAATTAATAAATAATTCCTTGATTGGTTGCCCAATTAGGAGGAGTAGAGTTTACAAAAGTAACTTCAGAAAATAAAAGTCTAGAAGAACGGGCTAAGCAGTCCGCTTGAACATTACATAAACGAGAAATAAGAGAAAGCGAGAAGAAAGGGAAAGAGAGACGGAGAAAACCAAACTCGTCTAGAAGATTGGAGAAAGCAGGCCATTCATCCGGTGAGTGTATCATCGAGACTAACTCCGAGCAGTCTGATTCAAACACCTGACAATCGATCCCTCTTGAAAGGATATTCTTCATAGCCCAAATTAAAGCTTCCATCTCCGAGTGAAGAGGGGAGGGACACCTCCGAAGGCACTTTGCACCGAGCAGTATCGTTTGATCATTTCCTTGAAAACACCACCATCCTATACCCATTGTTGGATCTGAATTTTTCCAAGAACCATCAATCCGACATCTTATAGATTGAACCGGTCGTTCCAAAGTTTACGTAGTAGAACTAGTTTCGATCGGATCCAACTGAGCTTCTTCCCACATTAATTTTTCACTCAAAGCATGATTTAAAATATCTCTGGGTTCAGATTGTAATCCCTTGAAAACCTTTTTATTCCTATCTTTCCAGATGAACCACAAAATCCAAGCATAACTGAAAGTTTTCTCTCCCCCATCTAGATTAGATGGTAACCTCCAAAAAAGATAATCTAGATTTGAGAATTCCGAGGTTAGAGGAAAACTACCTATTGCCGTAGGTATATCGGATAATTCCCATATTTTCTGAGAATGAGTGCACTCAAATAAAGCATGATTTATTGTTTCCTCTGCCATCTCACACCTTTTACAGAGAAAGTCACATTGGATCCCTCGATGTGCTAATTTTGAAGTAACTGCTAGAGATCCCGTAGCAATTTGCCATAAGAAATGTTTTAGTTTTGGAGGGGCTTTGACTTTCCAAGCTTGTGCTTGTAAATTCTTATAATTCGGGCCCCATTCGATCGTTTCTGTCATCTCTCTAGCAACCCGATAGCCTGATTTTACTGTATATCTTCCCGATCTTGTATGATGCCAGATAAGCCTATCTGGCTTATAAACTTTGCTAATAGCCAATCCCCTAATAAACTGAATATCCACTGGATCCAAAAATTCTTGTAAAATAGGAAGGTGCCATTCTTTAGTAACCGGATTAATTAAATGGTTAAACCATCAAACTTGGAAGTAATGTTTTTCCTCTTCCATTTGCGGGCCGTGGGTTAACATCAGGAATCCAAGGATCTCGCCATACCGATAGATTGAAACCCGATCCTAGTGACCATCTAGCTCCCACTTCAACTAATCGTTTAGTAGAAAAAATACTCTTCCATCCAAATGATGGAGAGTTTGGTTTTTTTGCCTGTAAAGGATGAATATTCCTGAAATATCTACTTTGTAGTACCCGAGCTACTAAAGAGTTTGGATATTGGATTAAACGCCAATATTGTTTAGCCAACATGGCATCATTAAAAATGTCTAGGGAATGAAAGCCTAAACCTCCTTCTTCTTTATCCTTACACATTTTTTCCCATGCTATCCAATGGATCCCACGATCTCTCCCATTGGAACTCCACCAATAATTAGAAATAACACTTGTTAACTTAGAAGTTAACTCTTGAGGTAGTTTAAAACAAGACATAACATAGGTTGGTAGTGCCAAAGCCACTGATTTGATCATTGTTTCTTTCCCACCTTTCGACAGAAATTTAGCTGACCAGCCATTAATCCGTTCATTAAGTCTTTCCCGAACATAATTAAAGATTTTACTTTTTGAACCTCCTAAGCTCTCTGGTATACCCAAATAGGTACCCATGCCACCCTCCTTACTGATTCCAAGGGTGTTTTTAAGTTGATCTCTTTTTTGGTTTGCTACGCGCTTACCAAACATAACCGATGATTTACTGAGATTTATCTCTTGCCCTGAATCTTTACCATAATTCCCAATAATATCCATCACCGTTTTGCATTGCTCTGAATCCGCTTTACAGAAAAAGAGACTATCATCCGCAAAAAGCAGATGTGAAATTGCTGGGCTTCTTTTCGCTATCTTAATTCCTGTCAGCTTCTTCTCCCTTTCCGCCTTTTTAATATTTGCAATCAGTACCTCCGTACATAAAATAAACAAATAAGGCGATAAGGGATCACCTTGCCGTAAACCTCTACTCGGAATGATATTTCCTCTAGGTTCCCCATTCAATAAAACCTGATACGAGACCGAACTAACACTCCACATGATCCAAGAAACCCAATTAGAATTGAATCCCAACCGAGTCATAATTGCCTCTAAAAAGTCCCATTCTATCCTATCATACGCTTTGCTCATGTCTGTCTTAATTGCCAGGAAATTCGTTCTACACATTCTATTAGTCCGTAAGCCATGAAACATTTCCTGAGCTAATAAGATGTTGTCTGTAATAAGTCTCCCAGAAACGAATGCCGATTGTGTTTCAGAGACTAGCCGAGGTAAAATGTGTTTTAGCCTCAAGCAAAGAATTTTTGAAATTATTTTGTAACTCACATTGCAAAGACTTATTGGCCTAAACTCTGCCATCTTCTGTGGCCTTTCCGTCTTTGGAATTAAACAAATATTTGTTTCATTTATTCTCTTATCAAAACGTCCAGTTCGGAAAAAATCTTTGACCAATCCTACCAAATCTTCCTTTAAAGAATGCCAAAACCTTTGATAAAATAATGCTGTCATACCATCTGGACCTGGTGTCTTTTCTGGATGCATTGAAAATAAAGCTTTCCTAACTTCTGCTTCGGTAACCTCTTTGGTTAGTTCCCTATTCATACTTTCCGTAATAATTGGAGACACTTCATTTACCATCTCAGCAATTCCATTTGTATTGGAGACCTTAAAAAGTTCTTTAAAATAATTAGTTGCAATCTCCTCCATCCCTCTTTCTGATTCCTCCCAAACATCATTAGGTCCATATAGACCTGATATCTTATTTCTTGCCCTTCTTTTTTTTGTAGAAGCATGAAAGTATTTGGTATTTTTATCCCCCACTTTTAACCAAAAATTTCTGCTCTTTTGTTTCCAATAAATTTCTTCCTCATGATAAGCTTCCTTTAATTTACTTTCGATTCTTTTTATTTCCTCTTGTGGAATCGAGTCATCATTCTTTGCTTCTTCCAAAGCCCTCTTAAGCGAATAGATATTAGCCTGACCCGTGGGAATATTATTTTTCCTCCACCATGAAATGGAATTTCTACAATTCTTTATTTTATCCACAAAAACAGGAATTCTAAAATTTCTTGTTCGATTCCAACCTGAATTTATGGCTTCAGTAAGGCCATCCTTTCCAACCCATCTTTTATCAAATCGAAATTGACGTTTTCTTCTACCCAAAGTTTTCCCACAACTCAATAAAATCGGTCTATGATCAGATCCAATCATATCCAGATAATCCACTTTTGAATAAGGAAATATGTTATGCCAATCCTCATTTCCCAATGCCCGATCCAGTCTGCACCTGACTATCTGTTGGTTCCTATTACCTCTCCATGATAGTTCTTCACCATAGCATGGAAATTCTAACATACCGTTATTTCGAATCATAAGATTAAAAGGAACAAAAGAAGCTGCTGATCGTAAATTACCACCTGTTTTTTCATGATTTCCCGTCAACTCATTGAAATCACCTACCATTAGCCATGGTTTTTTCCGGTTAGAACCCAACTCTGTTATTTTATCCCAAACCATTTCGCGTTTTGTGGCAACAGGATCACCATAAACGAACGACATAAACACTATTTGTTTCCCAAAAAATGCTTTAACATCAATAATTCGATTGCTTGCATAAAGAATCTCCAATTTTATTTCATTATTATAAAATAAAGCTAATCCTCCACTAGCACCACGAGGATCAACTGAATACAAATTATTAAAACCAAAAGAAGTTTGAAATTTCTTTAAATAAGAAAGACATTTTTTTGTTTCCGATAAAAATAAGATATCCGGCTTGTGCTCTCTCCATAAATCCTTTAAGAAGTTCTCTGTCAGTTCAGCCCCTATTCCCTGACAGTTCCAGCTCAAGATCTTCACGTATGAGCTGGTGGTTTCGGGAGATCCACCATCCCTTTCTTCAAATTACGATTTGCTCTTCCAGCTTTTGTCACCTCCTTAACCTTATTCTTATCAGCAACTTTTTGTTTGATACCATCATCTGCAGATTTAAGAGACATTGCTTTAGCCAATAAACGTTTCCCTGGAGAAGCCACAATCCTAGAATAATCCCTATTACCATTTATTCCCCGAATTCCTTGGCTACTAGTTCCCTTAAAATTCTGAATCTTTTTACTATCAAGAGTAATACCTTTCAGACCTTTACGAACCAAGCCAATATCATCAGATAACACATTAGAGATTTGCACATTACCTTGTAAGGCATTCATGTTCTCCTCATGGGTCTCATTGCCTTCATCTTCCGTAGTCTTCTCTGCCATTACTTGAACCTCTATGTCCTCCTCAGCATGGTACTCGCCATCTTCAAGGAGATCATCCGTACTCTCCGAGAAATTAATCCCTACTGTAAGGCTCTTGTCTTGAACCTCTGGTACATCTTCCATCACCGAATCCTTCTTCTCCTCTCCTAAATCTGGAATCTTAGAAACATTTTCAACCTTGTGAGAAGCCTGGGATACCTTAGAGATTGCCTTTGGTTGATACAGTGGCTTAGGCCACACTGGCCCTGCACCCTTCTTTGTGAATTCTGTTCCCTGAACAGAGTAATGAGAATCCATCAAGCCCTCCATAGCCACTTCTTCCCAGCCACTTCACTGTTCTCAGCCCAAGTCCCAGGGAAACTCTTTTTTTCCTTCCAACCTGATGCATGATTTTTGTCATACCGCCTGTGAGACTGCCTACTGTTATCACCCCTCTCCAATTGGTAATGGAAACCACCACTAGGTTCCTCACCAGAGAATTCCAAAGCTCTCTTTGCTGCAGGTTTTCGTGGCTTTTCCCAGCCTCCTTCATTACCTTGAGGCATCTGTTTTACCATTATTTGCTGTCTTGATCCACCTCTTCTATCCCCATACTCCTCAAACAATCTGTTTCCCGCCTTCTTATTCAGCTCTGGACAGACTGCTACATCATGAGTCATTCTAGAACAGTGGTGACAATATTTAGCCAGCTTCTCGTAATCTAAAGAAACCACCACTTCATCACCTGTGTCAAAGGGCACCACCATTTGAAACACAAGTGGATTAAAACCATTTACTGTGACATAGATACTACCTGAATCCACATCAAGCTCACGAATTATACCTACTTTTTTTCCTATAGCCTTTAGTGTTGCTTCTTCCCACAAGTGCATTGGTAAATCAGAGACTTTAACCCAAAAATTAATTGCTGACGGATAAGTAGCGGAAATTATAGGCTCCCCCTTAACCAAAGAAACCATCCAGCCATCAAAATGATAAGGGACGTTCTGCAAAACGCCTTGCATATCCTCTTCAGACTGAAAATTAAACTGGAAAATTCCTTTCCCTAAATCTGCCCCCACCACCTTTTCTTCCATCTTCCAAATTTTTGGCATGTTTGCCACCAGAGAATCCATCCTCTGGATGCTCGGGTTCATCAACCTACCAATCAAGGTAAGGGAGAATTGTTGGATCCTTTGTGACAGCATAGACCCAGAAATCTTCACAACCTCAGTGCGCACCATTGCGGTCTTACCTTTATTCAAAGCTAACTGAGCCATTAGAATAAACCACGAACGCAGCCTTACAACCTCTTGAAACCGAAAGAGAATAAAACGAATTACTGTAAGTATTTGTATTTTTGCTACCTTAACTTGAGAAAGCACAATGAGAGACTCGTGAATCCTAGTAGTCTCTTTATATAGACTCCACCAGAAATAATCCCTTGAATCTCCGTAGATCAAACACAATAAAAGCCAGATCGACCCAATCTCCTTAATTCCCATGAAAGATAACACGATGTAATATTTCTTACTTATTAGAGACAAAGAAGCTTGGAAACGATATTGAAAAGAATCCTTAATCTTACCTTTTCCAAAGATGAAGAATATTCGGATCCAAAATCTCAGATCTTTCATATCCCTCCATTTGAATTCCTTAAGGCCCAGATCACTTACTGATTTACCCAATCCAGCAGATCTAATTTGATTGACCTTTACCCCAATCAATCGAAACCAGATCCCCCGATATTTGTCTTCCACAGGACATCGAATCCAATACCTATCCCAAACAAATCGATATCCTAATTCCCATCTCATCCAATCAAAAGCTATTATCACGCTTGAGATCCGATGAAATCGACCAAAAATGGAACCATAGTTCCTTCGCAGCCATCCTCGACCTTCACCAAACCAGACCAAAAAAGCAACCCCGAGCCTTTCCCAATTGATTACCCAGATCAAAAACCACATGAAAAGATGGGGAATCTGATTACCCGCAATATACCGCAATCTGATTTTATATCAAAAAAGCAACTTCAAATTTAAAAATTTTAGTTTAAAAAAATCGACCCGCAATATACCGCGGAGTAATTTTTTTTGATATAAAATAATATCAAATTATTATAATAGTCTATGCTTATAAATGCTTGCCAATATTAACACTATATCATTTCTACACCTACAAATCTTCTAAGTACACATATTTCAACTATATTAATTATAATATAAAATAAATAAATGAGATTTTTGTATAATATTAATTTAAAAATCCAATAAATTATAAATTATTATATAAAATACATAAAATATAATTTTTCCCCGCGGTGTATCGCGGGTTAAATCCTAGTATAAATATATTTTTCAATCAAGTTCAGGAACTATATATATTTATGAATCTATGAATCCTGATGTATTTTATATATTTGTTTCTCCGATTGTAATTAATTAAGTATGTTGAGAGCACACAAAGTCCTCACTTGAAATGAGTCTTGAGTCGACAGTTTTTTTTTTAATTTTGTTTAAGATGTGATTCTTTGCCTTTGCTTATACTCCAACGAGAAGTAAGAGCATACAAAAAGAAACTATCGAAAGCGACTGAAAGACAAAAGAAGCAACACCTCTTTATAGTCCTTTATATTAATCCTTCTCATGCTTCTTAATCTGCTACCACTTTTTCTTCACTTGCTCACAGCACCTAGCTGCTCTCATAACAATGGAGGAAACGACGACCTTTCATGGACTAGGACACCTCTTCATGACAATCTTCTTGTACTGCTTCTCATCATTCATCGTGGCTCCAGCGATAACCGACATCAGCATGGCTGCGCTATGTCCCGGAAAAGACGAGTGTTCTCTTGCCATTTACCTCTCCGGCTTTCAACAAGTTGTACGTTCTATCTACAAACTAAACCTTTACTAATATGTTCATAATCCTTCCGTTACCCTTAAATAATAATATTCATACATTATTTGAGTTTCAAAAAAAAAATGTAAGTGATTTTTTCATGTAAAATTTAACTTATTTTCAGAATTAAGTATTAACCGTCCATCGTTTGTCTATTTTCTTAATTTTTACCAAAAATATCGTATAAAACAAAAAAAAAGGCCTTATTTTCTATAAATAAATATTTCATATATGGTTATTAGATCACAGGAGTGGGATCGTTGATGATGATGCCATTGATGGGAAGCTTGTCGGACAAGCATGGTAGAAAATGTTTGCTTACTCTTCCAATGACACTCAACATTTTGCCTCTTGGTAGGGTCCCTACTTTGAATCTTATATAAGCTTTTTATTCCACGTCTTATATTCCTTGCTTGAAAGCAAAACCATCCTATAATGTTTCACATACTTTAATTTGCTTATAAAATTTAAGAGAAACTGCAAATTAGCTATTTGATAATTAATGTTGAAAATAATTTTTACTTTGGATTATAAAAAAAAATGTGGTTTCAAATTCAGGTAATTGTTTTTTTAATAAAGTAAGTATTACACAATTATTTCAAAAGTTATCATCTTGCGCTGTCCACATGCAAGTACGAATCTAATGTCATATCTTAACGTTTCATTTTGAAATATAGGAAACTATTTTATTGAAAAACATCAATGAATGGTCGAGATTTATTATTTCGTTGAAACAGAAATGTTTAATAATTACAGCGACATTAGCGTATAGTAGAGGGACGACCATCTTCTACATGTACTATGTACTCAAGACTTTCACTTCGATAGTTTGTGAAGGAAGTGTTCTTTGTCTTGCCCTTGCTTACGTGGTACGCCATTTTCCTCCTTTCCTCCTTTCTTTCTTTTTATTGCCGTCATTAATGTTTATTAAGAGTAATTAAAGGATAGATACAATTAAAGTAGATCAAACATTCTTTAACGAGAAGAACAAACCCGAACGGATAACTAAGAGACAAAATGTATAATATATAGTTCTTTAACAAAACATAAAGAAAGAATAATAATAGTGTTATGTAGTTATATGAAATACTAAGCTTATTCTACTTTCCTTTTGACTTTTTGTATGCCAATTTGGCCGGTCTTTTTTTTTTTTTCTTGTATTATTTTTTCATTTGGCCGATCCTTACTTTTGGGGGGCACAAAGAACATTCAAAAATATGTCATCTACGCAAATATTAAATGAAAATAATACTATAACAATATTTAAGTCATATATAGATAGCGAATGGAAAATAATATGTTTTAGCTAGAAATCTTTCTCTGTCAGGCTGATTCACTTCTAGGATTTAGTCATACGACTTAAGTCGATTGTGATTGGGTCTTTATCGGGCTCAACTTCAAAATTTTAGTTTTTAGATTGAAACTGAAACTTTTTTAAATGCTGGCCGACATAATTTTTACAAATAAATAATTAGAATTAAAGATGGAGAAGAAGAGTTGTTAGAGGAGCCATAAGAAGCTCAAGTCAGTGTTTCATGAGAAGTCCATTGGTTAATATTATAGTTTTTAGCAAGTAGAGATTCATTTAAATTTGTTTTGGAACATCAATGAAAGGCTAAACTTGAGAATTGTTTTAAATAATAGACTAAAATTCAAGATTTTTATTTTAAATAAAATTGTTTAAAAACCTAAAACATCATTTTAACTATTTGAATATTCATTAAATTAGAAATTTATAGACCAATATCGTTTTGTTTGGCATTTTTTTAGAACATCAATGGAAAGCAATCTTGATAATTGTATTAAATAATAGACTACTAGTCTTGATTTTTATTTTATATAGCATTGTTTAAAAACCAAAAACATCATTTCAACTAGTTAAATAGTCATTAAATTAGAAATTTATAGTCTAATATGGTTTTGTTTGTCATTTTGAATAATTTAAGTTCAGACATTTTGTAATATGAAAAAGTAGTGGTCGGCGAGTATCCCTTATCTCGAACTCTCGTCAGCAGTCTTTGCAATGCATTATTATTGATTCTAAATAGTATATCATTCGTGCTAATTGCTTTTAGGATTTTAATGTAAAATTTTGACTTCTTCCGAGCTAAAATTATTGAGGAAGGTAAATATAAAAGAATCAAGAAATACGTTTTTAGTTTACTTGTTTCTAATTAAATCTCGTGAAAAGTTTCAAAATATTAATATTAAATAACTGGTGAAATCTTTAGCGAACTCCAATAATATTTATGAAAGTTTTTGGGCGGATTTTCAGGCTGATAATGTATCAGAAGGGAGACGAGCCTCCGCGTTTGGAATACTTACCGGGATTACATCATGTGCATTCGTTTGCGCCACTCTTTGTGCTCGATTTTTATCTATTGCCGCCACATTTCAGGTATCTCAATATACTCTGAGTTGTATACATGTGTATGCATAGTTAGTACTGAATATACTTTAGTGAAGATCCTCCATATTGCTACTTATTTGGTCGCAGCAGCAATGGCAATTTTATCAACGTTGTATATGAGGCTTTTCCTACCGGATTCGATCCGAGACAATAGCCTCGGTGCTCCCATTGTTTTAAGCGAGAAATTGAGTTCTCCTTTACTTGAGGATTGTCATGGACATAAAAATAGAATATTTAGAGCAATTCGTTCGGTACGTGAAATGACTTCTTTAATGAGAAGGAGGTGTGTTTTCTTTTTCCTTTTTTTTTTTTCTTATAACTTGTGAGTAGAAGATTCATGATTAGTGTAAAATCATTTATTTTTTATCTTATTACTTTATGACAAGTTTTACATAGATTTCTTACTTAGATTTATTTTCCAGCGTTCCACTTTTTCAAGTTGCGATGGTATCATTCTTCAGTAGTCTTGCTGAGGCAGGTCTACATGCGTCATCTATGGTACGCTTATAAATATCTGATGCGGCTTATAAATGACTATTGTTTGGTTGTCAACATAAATATATCCATACAAAACAATGAAACATGTTTTTCATTTGTAACTTGAGATGCTAGTAAGGGACAATAATTTGAAGATATTAGTGTATGACGTAGGTCACGTAGCTCATGAAACTATAATTAGTAAATATAATAATTTATATTAGATTTTGTATTTTTCATACTATTTCTAAAATTGTCGATTGCTTCACACAGTACTATTTAAAGGCCAAGTTTCACTTTAACAAAGACCAGTTTGCAGACTTGATGATCATATTTGGCGCAGCCGGATCTATTTCACAGGTAAATAAGAATTAATATGCTTACTTTTGTAGCGACTTTTGGGACCTTGGTCTTTTTTTCATATTGTTTAACTTACATAGAATTCTTATTTCACAGTTGCTCTTTATGCCCATTCTAGTTCCTGCTTTAAAAGAGGAGAGACTGCTCTCAATTGGTCTTTTCTTTGGTTGTGCCCATGTAAGAACCGTCTTTTGTCTCGTCCTTATTCTTTTCCGCGATTTTTTTGTTCTCTAAACTTTGTATTTGGGATAGTTTTGTTTTCCACCATAATAGCTTATTTAATTTAAACAAAAAAAAACAGTTTATAAAAAAAACATCCTCCAATATAGTTTTAGGGGAACGACCTAAATAATGAGCCCTTAAATTTGACTACATGAACATTTTCTTATATGTTGCAATCTTTAATTTTGCAGATGTTCCTTCTATGTGTGGCATGGTCCTCATGGGTATTAATTCTATCCTTTTAAGAAATACTTTTCATTTTTTTTCTTTTGGATGTTCCTGTTCATTTTCTTTGTTATATCATATTGGCTAACGAAAATTTAAAACTCACAGGTTCCATATACGGCAGCCATATTTGCACTTTTCTCAATATTTCCACAATCGTGTGTAAGTTTACATATTAGATATTCTTCTATGCGAGTTTATAACTAATTTAATTATATCTTGAAAAGTACTGTAATTCAACAATTCAATTTTTCAGATGCGAAGCATTGTCTCCAAACAAGTAGCATCATATGAACAGGTAACTAACTATTGTCTTATAATTTGTTATACCATAAGTACTTATTGTATAAAATGGATAGAAATATAAATGAGTCCAAAGAATGAAAACAAAGGGAGTAGGATTAGAAATATTGTTACTTTTCCATGAAATCGAACCTTATTATTTAATTTGTGTGAGATTGGTTTTGACTTTTATTAATTTTAGTTAAACGGTCTATGCAAACTCTAACTCTTGGTAATATATTCAGGGGAAAGCCCAAGGAATTATTTCAAGCATATGTTCCCTTGCAAATGTCCTTTCCCCGCTTGCATTTTCACCTCTAACAGGTTTCACTATTAACATAATCTTTGTTTATTAATGCTATTTACGAAAACTTATTAAGATAGAAATGCAACACCTGCTACTAACACAAGTACTTTTGTTTTTTGTGTTTTTGTTTTAGATTGGTTTCTGTCTGAAAGAGCCCCATTTAATTTCCAAGGGTTCAGTATAATGTGTGCGGGATTTACGATGGTAATATACTTTATCTTTTTGTATTTTCTATTAAAATTCACTAAATTTAGTGTCCATGACACTATACAAATAAATATCCGGTTCAACCAAGAAATGAAAGTTATCATTTTAAGTAGTTTTTACTTTTTAGATTCATACTATCCTAATTCACAAAGAATGTTGTTGTAGGTTGAGGAAAAAGGAAACAAATCTGATATAATATCCCATGAAAAATCACCAACTCATTTAGTTATTGCCAATATAGACAATATATTTCTGTTTAATATTCAGATTTATTACCGTTCTTGTATTTTACACCCTCAACTGAATGAACGTTAACATAATTAGAAACACCATTAGCTCTTAGTCCAAAACTTCCAAACGATGCTGCATTTCAACCTTTTATAATCAAGGGGTAATAAAATTAAACGTTCAATTATAACGTTATTTGGGGTTGGTGTTTTTATTCTAATTTTTCTGGACAAATAGAGTTGATAAAATTTATGTTAGTATATTTTAAGTCAATGATGTAAACAAAAACACTATGTTATATGAGTACAAGTATTAAACTTAGCTACATGTATTTCTTAAGTATTTTTGAAAATAGCTAAATAGTTGGATATTTTTTAAATATATATTTTAAATCGTATAATATTGTTGTCCAAGTAAATAATTGTTTTATTGAATCCAATATGATACTTAAAATGAAACTGTATGTGAAACATAGAAAGGTTTTCAATCGATTCCTCAAAATTATATTACATTGGTTTGTTCGATTACTAAGAAAGATGATATATATAATGTCGGTTACTTTATTTTTTTTGTAGACTATAGCTTTCATCCAAAGCCTCATGATCAGAGCAACAACTCCAATATCGGATATGGGATTTCCATAATACAGTTAGCTTAAAACCATATGGATCTCATAGTGAAAGAAAATATACAGGTTCTAAATATCAGTACTAGTCGATTCTTGGTATTATTTTAACCCTTAATATTGTGTACGGTTTTATGATTTCCAAAGTCAGGAATAGCATGTATAGGTTAGTCAATAGCTCCTTGGGGAAACACCATATTTAATGGCTGTTCCTGTTAATTAAGATGTCTTCTTTTCTTTATTTTTTTTGGTTGAAAGTTAATTTAGATATCTAAAGAGACAAAATAGCTCCAGTATTTGTACCATCAAAATTTATTGATTTTACATCATAATAAAGTTTGTATATATATAAACATAATTGAATCATCTTTTAATATTATATTTTTTTATTTTATTTTTCGTTATAATCGGGAATAAATCTTACAATATTGAACACTATTATTTCTTGCATCTATTAGTTTTGGTTTCAATTTGTAGAAGAGTTGGAGATTCCTCGAATAATCATTTAGTAACGGGTTGCATTCACATCCATTGTTCAGAGAAAGATGAATGCGAAAAAAGAAAAGGAAAAAGATTAATGAATTTGTTATCTTTTTTTGGATACATTCCTTCCATTGTATTGGGTAATAAATTGTAACAATATTCTTCACCCACTGCTTTTTAAGAATTGGAGAGAGATTTCGGATAGATGGACAAGTCTCCAAACTTTCAGCTACGATTTTTTTCATTTTCCTTTAAACATTTAATTTGTTTGATTTTGTGTGGATTATGATTAGCGTTTTTTTTCTTTGCTTAGACAGTATAAATCTATAGATTTGCTGTTATGAAAACATATGTGAAGTTAATATAAAAAAGAAAAGTTACGGGTGATTTGTTGGGATTCTATTATTAAACTTTTGATGATTTTAGGATTTTCTAAGAACAAAAAAAAGGAAAATTTGTCTCTAAACATCTCAACCAATGTCTACACCAAATTTGTTTCACTTTTTCTCCCACATTCTCCCCTCCATATCCACATATATGATGACAAGAAATACGATGTCTATGTCTATGTTTGAACGATGACATATACAACAACCACAAAAATCATCACCACAACAACAACTTCAATGGCAATATGAGTGCCATACGTTCCTCCTCCAACATCAATGTTCGTGCCATCACAATAGCATTACCAACGATGACAACAAAGAAACACCACCGTCCGATTCTCATCATCACATAGACAATAACATAGCCAACCAAAACAACGCTGCCCGTGTTCAATGATCATCACATGGAAAATCTCATATTCAATGTTGTTATTTTTCTAAAGTAATAGAGGACTAGAGTAGACGAAAATAAAAAAACATAAATAACCCAATAGAAATTATGAAAACAATCTAAAGATAAAGCATAGTAATAGTACTGCACTACGACCCCATATTCATAGCATCTGTCCACATGTTTGCCGCTATAGTTGCTCTCCAGTTATTAGCGAGTACTCTTTGTTGTTCTTGAGTACCGTGAAGTTGTTCTTCATTGTTCTCATCTTCATCCCTTTCATGAACATCAGCTTCTTCGACATCATTTTCTTCTGGTAGAAACAAGTCAGAACGACAAATCAGAACGACATTCTTTACGAAGATAATTATGTAAAACAGCACAAGCAAGTGCTAAATTTGCTTGCGTCTTGTATGGAAAGGGTGGTGCAGATTTGAAAATGAGAAATCTTGACTTGAAGATGCCGAAAATCCGCTCTATTACATTTCGTAAGCTTGAATGACGATGATTGAACAACTCATTTGGGGTTTTAGGATCTTTTCCTTGTCCTCTAGAGTCTTGGAGATGATAGCGAGTACTTCGAAATTGAGCTAAAAAATTACGACGGTTGGCAAATCCACAATCAACTAAATAAAATTTTCCTGAAAATTAATAAAGCATATACATATAAGTGAGATGAATTACAAATTAAGAACTGAAAATATATTAGGTTTATCATAATATAAATGACGTACCTTCAGGAACGATTAATTTGTTTGTGTTTCTTGTTAAAGCATCGTGTAATACCTTTGCATCGTGAGCTGATCCTTCCCATCCGCTAAGAACATAGATAAATTCTAAATCAAAATTACATGCAGCTAAAACATTTTGCGATAGCTGTCCTTTTCGATTACGGTAGCTAGCTGACTCTTGTCCTGTTATCATTGCGAGGATATGCGTTCCATCAATAGCCCCCACGCAATCCTAAGAAAAACAGCAACAAAAATATTAGCATTGTAGCTTTTCAAAATACTTGAAAACAAGCAGACGAAACGATCGCATACCTTAAAATAAGGATAAAATCGTGTGCTATCTTTTATTTTTCTAGGAACTGCAGATCCAGGTTTAGCCATATAGCTCGGAGCAAGTGCTTTTAAGACCTTCAAAATTGTGTTAAAACTCGTACTTATTGAGAATCTTGATATCTTGAATCTATCTTGAGCTTGAATGTACCGCGAATTTTGACCAACGATGAACAAAAACGTGGCAAGCATTTCTTCAACTGAAACATTTCTTCTGTCTTTTAAACCCATATCCAATCTAAAAATAGAGCATAGTTTGAGAAATGCTTCTGGATACATACGATATAAATATCGAAAATGTTCACGATCTTCACCCAACGAATTTTGTATGTATTCATGTCCAAGTCTTGTAACTGGTTTTCTAATCTGGCGTGGTATATGCGGTAGGAAATATCGAATCTTCGCAATGATTGACAAAACTAGTAACATACAGTAATATCAACATCTGATTTGAAATTACTCATTTTTTTTCTATTTTTTCTAGCTTGTATATCTTCATTTTCTTGAACAATGCGATCCATTGTCGAAACCTTACACACAAAAATAAGTAAAAAAAAAAACACAACAAGAAGCTCTTTATCAAAAACAGTGACAACAGAAAACAGAGAATAAATCTAATTGATATCATAATAGAGAAAAGTTTCTACACAAACACATCAACAAAACGAGAAAATATGCTCCAAAAACATAAATCATATAATAATGAGAAAAAGTGGTAGTAACTCACGAGGAACGTCGGCGGCTAGTGTGGAGAACTAAAATAAAGGAGAGAGGGCAACAGATCATATATATTGACCCTAATTTCTGTCTTATGTTTTTACCCGCCATAATCTATGCACCATATTTAACCGGCAAAAAATGTAGCTTAACCGGGACAAGAAAATAAGAAGATGCAATTAGGGTCAATATATATGACGCAATTAGGGTCAATATATATATGAAACATACCTTAATTACATATCAAGTATGCATTGTTTTTCATTTCTTTTGTCAAATATACTAATCTCTGGTTTCATTTCTCTTCGAGAACTATAAAAATGGTAAATCGATTATTTGTAAAAAGGAAGAAACAAAATACCAGTTTTAAATTAAAAACAAAATAAAAAAAAAACCTCATAAAGTAATTCATGAAAACGAAAAAACAAGAAAAATGTCAAAAATTAAAAACCATTTTTAATCCATGTTGAATTCTCATGATTTACGAAGGTTTTGCATAATCCATCCTTTGCGCTCTTCTATCGTCATGTGCATGAATCCAAATTTCATACCTAAGCTGTGAACAAGTGTCATGGCTTCATAACGAAAACCTACGTCTAAATCAGGAATTTCTTTGATAGCATCCCACACATTATTTGCCTTGTCCTCAGCTTATTTTTCTTCGGTTTTTTTTCCCACCTCTTTTGTATCATACCAAAAATCTGGTTACTGAATTCTGTCACTGTATTCATTTCATCAAAAACCTTGTTTGAATTGAATGCATCTGTTCTAGCTTTCTTTCTTTGAGGTAGCTTTCCCCCTCTTCTTCTCTCAAGTGAAGAGAAAACATCATGAACAGATGTTTCTTCGTATGTTATTTCCTCTGCATCATCCATTATTTGGACACGACTTGGATCATTTGTCCCATCATTCTCTCTAACTTGATATGTATCTGCATCAATGGAATCGCCTAATCCCACAGGATTCCTCCCAGTTGCAGTATTAGATCCAAATAGCATTCGTAAATCTTTGAAATCTTCAAATGACTCATTACGCAGTTGTGTTTTGTTTGGATGAGCCTGTTTAAAATATAAAAACAGTTTATTAATTTTGATACATATTAAACACTACAATATTCACAAAATTAATGTTATATTTTTTTTTACCTTCAAATAGTCATTCCATACTTCATCACTGGCGGTGAATTTCTTCGTTTCAGGATCCCACCCAAAACCAGAGCTAAAACGAAGAAGATCTGCCAAAACTAGGTACCTACCCTTCAAGATCTTCATCCTATTTTTATACTCATTATAGGTTTTGTTAATTCCAAGAGTTTTGTTCAGAGGTGCCAATATTCTTGTATCCACAGTCATTTTGTGGAATTTGCCATTAGCATCACGAAAACCCTGATTAATTGCATCAGTTAGCAACCGCACTAACATGTTGCTTTCAGGTTCTGACCATTGTTTATATGACCCTTTAGTTTTCATAGCAGGTGGATCATCCATTGTTGTGTGGGAGATAACTAGCAATACAATACAAAAAAATATCTAAATCATTAAAACCAAAAAATTCCACATGTAATCATCAACTTGTATCTCTCATAAATTTCATGATACATAACGTAGAAATAAATAAGAGTAAATGAAGAGGAATTACTCACTTTGACAAAACAAGAGATGAACCTTGAAGTAGCGTTACTAATTTTGCAGGGGAGAAGAAAGCTATTGATCATCGTGAGTGTATATATACACCTAATAAGTAACCCTAATAAGAAAACAAGACAAAAAGCCCATAAATTATAATTCTTTCTTCTAAATAGAGCAGCCCATTAAAAATATGTCGAAATATGGCTCAAAGTATAACATATAAAAAACCTGCATATTGAGCAACATCTTGAACTGCAGGCATAACATCACAACGAGAGCACTCATCACCATCAACCAATGATACCTAGAGTTGCTATGTATGACCGTTGGATTCACATGACCACCAAGGATCTTCCAAGAGATGTACACCGACAACGATAACGACACCAACGATGATAACGCAAACGCAATTGTAATCGCCGGTATTTCAACAACAAACAGACTAGACACATCACCAGCCAGCACAAGCCTTTTTTGTTTAGCTAGTTGCAGCGTTTAAGCAATTATTTTCATTGACTGTATAGATCCATAGAGAGAAATCTCTACTTTAGAATGATACAAACTAGAAGACAACCAGGGTGATGGCTTAAAGTTGTGATAATTCTTTCTAAATAAAGAGGTCATATCCTAGAAACAGTTTAAGCAGCACCAATGATTCGAAGACGACCATAAAGAACATTGGAAAGATTAATACATGATCCTTCCATGCCTTAAGTGAAACATTTGCATCAAAATCCTCAACAGTCATGAGTTCCATTGTTATCAAGTTCACCACATTACCTCCAAATTTGTCTTCTTTTCCATATAGTAATGATATTTGGTCCATACCAGAGTATCCATCCAAGTAAAATGATATATCTGTGAAAAAAAACAAGTAAAGCAATGTTTTTTTTCAAACTCATCCAATTGAGATTCTAATCGGTCCCCAAAATTTCATATACAAGTAAGAGAGAGAAGTAATTTGTGGGAAAGAATGGAGAGAGACACTTCAGCTTTTATACACATTCAAAAAGACGACTTTGAGAGGTTTCGAGAGTTACCAGGTAATGATTTGGTAATAGACTAACAAAGAGGATGAAGAAGAAGTCACCGACCTCAGAAGAAGTCGGAAGCAAGTGATTTGATGAAGGTGATAAAGGTCCTTTGCCTTGCACTCGTGTAGATTTTGATTTGATGAAGCTGTTGTAAATCTAGTAAGGATGACAGAAAAAGGATTGACGAATTGGGGAATTTGAAATGAATGGAGATTTCAGGAGAAATAAAAATGAATCGAAGGATTTTGGCAATTGAAGAGGATGACTGCGAGTGACGCGAGAAAATTCTATGGAGGAAAAGAAGAGATGGAAGACCCAAGCTCAATTCATGTCTAATCTATAAAATTGAAATTACGAATCTGTAGATTCTTCAATTATCTCTTCGATTGCTCTTATAAGATGTTCAATGGATGAAGAAAATAATAGAAAAGTGATTGAAGATGGCTTTTCGTATTCTTCAAGTACCACCTGTATAGGTGCGATTGTTTTAGTTATATTTTCAACTAAAACAGTATAAAAAGTCTTCTAAAATCAGTTTCAGTAACTTCTTATGCAAATATTGTGATATTTTGAATAACAACAGATTTGATCTGAGATTTAGAAATTGTTGGTTGAATAACAAGAGATTCTGAATAATTTTAGATGACTTTACCTAAATTTGTATTTGAATAACATAGGATTTGAGGAGACTTTTAAAAATCATCATTTGAATAATAGCTGATTTTAAGAATAGCCCAAAATCTCCTAAAATACCAAGTCCAATACAGCCCCCTTAATTAATATCTGGTTTAGTAAAATCATGGTTTAATCAAATTAAACCAAAAAGCCCTATTTCTTTCCTCCTTATCATTGACGCCACCTTCACTTTCTCTCTAAGTCGTCAATTGCAAAGAAAAATAGAGAAAGAGAGCTGGTCAGTGTGAGGAAGAGGGAGAGGTTGAAGTTTGGTGAAGGAAAAGAGAGGCAGACAGAACACGTTTTGGTAGAATAGAGTTTCGACGTATCAAATCGTTTCCAAAGGTAACGAAGAATTTCAGAGATTGTAGGTAAGACTAGTTGTGGCGTTTTACGGATATTGATTTGAGTGAATATTCTAAGAGTTATCTCTGTTTTCGTGAGCTCTTCTGTTTTAGACGCGATTTGGACCAGTGTGTATTCAAAAGAAGATCGCGAGTGAACCCTCTGTCAGATATTTTGAGGGTGGCTTCAGGACATCTAGGGAAACCTTTTCAACAGTGGGATTTTAATGTGGACGGTTAGATCTCATTTTCTGATCCAATCTTTCAGGCTGATAATTCTGTGATTTTCCCAGAAGTTTACATTTTGGTTTAATTGATGTTTTGATTGTTGTGGTGGGCTATTAGGGTGATTTGAGATACTTTTGACGTGAGGAAGAAGTCAACTGTGGTTGTGTGGTGTTGTTCTTTGTTCAAAAACCATCCCTAAGCTGAGGTGAGTACGTGACCATGAGCTTATCTAAGTGATTGAGATTATGTGATTGTTTGTTGTGATGTGTAGGGTGGATTTTTGATGGATCCAGAATTGAAATCCCTGAGATGGTTGTGTTATTGGATGATTATCATTGGTTTGGTTTATTTTCGTGAATTATGTGTTAATTTGTGATCTTAGTTGCTTGTTTGTATAGCTCGTAGATGGGAGGATCATCTCACTAAGTATTTATTAGCATCTCTTTTCTTGGTGCAGGTAAAGATAAAGTGATTGTGGAAACATGGCGAGGAGAGGAGGAAGATATATGGTCTCGATGGTGTTAGGTTATTACTATTTAGTATGATAGAATTTTGGATTAGAAGTTATATATTGTTAGATAATTTGTTGGTTTATGTTTGTTAAACTACAATAAGTTGAATTTAGATTTTTGATATGAGTTGTGCCTGTTTTGGCATGATTTTTAATTGGGGAATTAATTAATATTTATGGGGATGTTAGTTAATTAATTTTAAAAAAAAAACGGGTCGGGTTTTTTCAATTGGTATCAGAGCATTTACGCTCCTAGGACGGTTTAGGGAATTTAATTTGGACTGATTGAATTTTCGTGATGCTTGATGCGTGTTTTTAAACCGTCGTTTGTTTATGCTGGAAAAAAATTGATTATTAGTAGTTAGTCAATTTGAGTGAGCATGAAGTCTTAGAATCATCCTCTTCGAGCCTTCAATGAGATTTCACGGTAAGTTATTTTGTATTTTTGGTCCTATGTCTTCGTGTACTTAGTTGTTGATTGTGAAAGTGCAGATGGATATTGGTGCTAGAGATCGTGGACGTGGACGTGGACGTGAACATGGCATGGATGTGGTCAGAGCCGCGGGGCTCCGATAGCGGATGAGAGTGTGGCACAGAGTGCTACGGTTGAGGGTTTGGCCGGTGGGGGTGCCGGTGTGGATGGAGTTCCAGTGGGTGATGCTCAGGCTCGAGATGACCGCATTGCAGACTTGTTGACGAAGCTGCTAGAGAGGCTATTGGAGAGGTACCAGCACATGCTCCGGGAGTACCACCAGTGGCTGGGGTGCAGCCGAGGGTTGCGGTTGCAGAGTAGCTCCCATCTTACATCAAGATGATGGAGCAGATGCAGAGGATTGGCACAGAGTTCTTTTCAGGTGGTGCTAAACCTGAGGAGGCAGATGAGTGGAGGATGCGGATAGAGCGGAATTTCCGTTCTATTAGGTGTCCAAAGGGATAGCATGTTGTCTTGCAGTCCAGTATCTGCAGGCAGATGCACATCTCTGGTGGAGGGGTGTTGCGGCTAGGAGGGCTCAAGCGGGGATGAGCTAGGCAAACTTTGTGGCAGAGTTTAACGACAAGTACTTTCCTCCAGAGGCGTTAGACCGGTTAGAGGGGCAATTTTTGTAGTTGTCTCAGGGGAGCCAGACGGTTCGTGAGTATGAGGCAGAGTTTAACCGTTTCAGTGTGTATGTTGGTCGGGCTATGGATGGTGAGCAGGCACGAGTGCAGAGATTTTTGGGAGGTCTTCGGGCTGAGTTGAGGAACCATTGTCTTGTGAGACTGTTCGGTACAGTGGTGGAGTTGGTCAAGAGAGCTGCGTTGTTGGAGGAGGGTCTGAAGGATGAGGCGGTGGTGATCACCCCAACCCTTAAGGCAAAGAAGCCTCAGTAGCAGTTCAACTCCAACAAGAGCGGTAAGCCGGTGCAGGGATAGAAGCGTAAATGGGATGAGACTCAGAGGGCTAGCCAGGGCGGCCAGGGATGCTTTGGGTGCGGGAGTAAGGATCATAGGGTGGCGAGCTATCTTCGGAGGAGTGGTACAGATACTCGGGTGTGCTTTCACTGCAAGGAGGTGGGGCATATCAAGCCCAAGTGTCCTAAGTTGCAGCAGACAGAGGTGGCAGTGGTGGCAGCGGCAACATCAATACTGACAGAGAGGCTGATCGCAGCGGCACCTCAGGTGTACTCCATCGGAGAGATGGGTGGACCGAGTACCAGACCGATCACATGTAAACTTCTAGATTTATGTATTTTAAATTCTAATTGTTTGTAATTTGTGTTATTTTCTTTTTAGTGTCGTGTTAAGGTTCTTAGCATGAGAGAATTGTGTAGGGACCTTACTCGTGGGAGGTATTGAGTCCTAGGTGTTGTTTGATTTCGAGCGTCACATTGTTTTGTGACTCCAGAGTTCACCGAGCGAGGTGGTATCGTGGGAGAACCCGACGAGCATTTTGAAGTCGTTAGGGTTACTGGAGGAAAGTTTTTGGCTGTTTAGGGTCGAGCTAGAAACATGGATATACAGGTAGTCGGGGAATTTATGCCAGCAGATTTGATCACTTGTGCAGTGGAGCTATATGACGTCATCTTGGGCATGGATTGGCTCGGGCATTACATGGTACATCTGGATTACCACTGGGGGGCGTGTCGTGTTCGAGAGGGAGACTTATATCTAGTTGTGGTTTTTTTTGTGGATATTGATTCGAGTCAATATTCTAGAGTTATCTCTGCTTTCGTGAGCTCTTCTGTTTTAGACACGTTTTGGACCAGTGTGTATTCAAAGGAAGATATCGAGTGAACCCTTTTTCTGATCGTCACGAAATTGTGAGGGTAGCTTCAGGACACCTAGGGGAAGCTTTTCAATGGTGGGATTTGAAAGTGGACGGTTAAATCTCGTTTCGTGATCCAATCTTGCAGGCTGACAATTCTATGATTTTCCTAGAATTTTATAGTTTGGTTTAATTGATGTTTTGAATGTTGTTGTTCGGTATAGGGTGATTTGAGATACTGTTGACGTGAGGAAGAAGTCAACTATGGTTGTGTGGTGTTTTTCTTTGTTCAAAACTCATCCCTAAGCTGAGGTGAGTGTGTGACCACGAGCTTATCTAAGCGATTGGGATTATGTGATTGTTTGTTGTGATGTGTAGGATGGATTTTTGATGGATCTAGAATTGAAATCCGTGAGATGGTTGTGTTATTGGATGATTGTCATTGGTTTGGTTTGTTTTCATGAATTATGTGTTGATTTGTGATCTTAGTTGCTTGTGTGTATAGCTCGTAGATAGAAGGATCGTCTCACTAAGTATTTATTGAAATACTTATGCATCTCTTTTCTTGGTGCATGCGAAGAGAGGAGGATGATCTAGGGTCTCGTTGGTGTTAATTTATTATTTTTTTAGTATAATGAAATTTTGGATTAGAAGTTGTTAGAATTGTTAGATAATTTGTTGGTTTATGTTGGTTAAATTATAATAAGTTGAATTTGGATTTTTGATATGAGTTGTGTTGGTTTTGGCATGATTTTTGATTGGGGAATTAATTAATATTTATGGAGATATTATTTAATAAATTAAAAAAAAACGGGTCGGGTTGTTTCATTTACTCTTTTGAGTCTTTGACCATAACCATTAAGTTACAAATTAATGTCGAGATGTGACCACCTCCCTTATGCAAGATGGATCTTCTTTGGCTTTGTAAAGTAATGGGCCTCTAATGCATCAAATGGATCCTTGGTGCGGGATCCGGTATCAACAGTAACAGCATATTCTATTCAAAACCAAGAAACCCTAAGAGGCAAATCTGAGAAGGCTTATTCAAGGCAACGTTTGGAGGTCGAAACGTTCATCGATCTTGCCCAAAATTTTTGGAGCTCTTAACGGTACTACAACTAAAGATTTAACGGTTGGATCGTGCTTCTAACGGTGAGTTATTGATTAATTTGTGTTTCTGTGGCACATTTGTATAGAGTATATGGTGTTAAGTTCTATTGTTTGATTTGACAAACGAGGTTTGATTGAGATGAAGCTCTGCAGGAGCATTCATGGTGTATGGGTTTATGCTTCAGGTGATGGAGAACCAAGTTGGAACTTCGTGTTTATGTTAGATTTTATGTGGTAGTATTTCCAACAAGTTAAGGCTAAGGTGAGGAAGAGTTCGTGTTTTTCTTCGTATACAAATATGTTTAGATATTTACATAATATAAGGTTAAGCCGAGCATACCTATCTGTTACATATTTATGAATAACATATATTTGAATGATAATTATATATTCACATATATATATATATATATATATAGATAGATAGATATATATACCTATGTATATAACGAACTAGTATAAAAATTAGAATAAAAAACGAATGCGTGTTGGTTGATGATGTGGTTGTGTGAAATGCATGTTATGTTACAGCAAAATAATTGTTGTGTGGTGAAAGAATGTGCCAATGGCAAGAAAATACAGTGAGGTGCGGAGAGTCTTCTAAGGAGAGATTCTTGTAGTTATGTGGTGGTCTATAGACATAAAATGCGGATAGATCAAGATGGCTGACGAGCCAGCGTATGTGAAGTGAACGGAAGAAGTGCAAGAAGCACGATGAATCCAATTGCACGAGAAAATGGTACAGGAAGAAGTGCTAGAGGAACGAGAGGGATTCAGTAATGCACGGGGATGGCGTGTATTGACACGTGATATTCTACCCGCCATTTTGGTTGTAGTTATAATGGGACGTACACTACAAGAATAATGGGTTTTTATAGCAGTATAACATAACGTTTGTGGGCTAAATGCTATGGTTATGAAACCACTTTATTAAAGATAGCGTTTGTGTATTTTTAAACGCTATAATATATTGTAATATTAAAAAATTTTGTCACGTTTTTTCTAAAACGCTTATTAATAGCAGACCGCTAATTTAAAACGCTATGATATGGTTAGGCGGTAATTAAGAAACCCGCGATACTTAGAAATTTTTTGGCTCCTCAGGTCAAAAGAACAAAAATCCCCAAATTTCTAGACCTAAATTTCTCCCTCTCGATTTTGGCTCGATTTTGCTCGATTTTCGCCAAATCTTCATCAATCAGACTCGAGCCTCACAAATATCAGTCAAATGCCCTAAAATCTTCTCGTCTCCCACACAAATCGATCTCCACTCTGAAAGCTCAATCGTCTCCTAGAGAAATCGCGTATCGTTCTGAAAATCTTCTCGTCTCCAGCTTCAATCTCGTGTCTGTAACCAAATACACGACAATCCAGCTTTCTCTTTCGCTTGTTTACACAAATCTCGTCTCAATCGATTTACACAAATCTCGTCTCTGTAACCGAAAACGCTTCAAATCCAGCTTCCTCTTTCGCTTGTTTTCGTGTTCTTGCTCGATTTCTACCAGGTATCTCACTTGTTCTCTATTGTTGTTGTCGCTATCAGATCTCGTCATTCTGTTGTTGTGGCTTAACTGCATGCAATTGTTTTGTTGTTGATTGTGTAAACACCTTTGGTCGGAGTTGTTCCCATGGATAAAGCTTGGGTCTGGTTACCAAGGTAATCTCTGTCCTTCTTCTTCTTTGATTTTTTTGTGAACTAGCTTGGGTCTGTGATTTCTTTTTTTGATTTATTTGATTTCTTTGATTGCTAACAGGAATAGCCTTGAGTATGAGGAAGGAACAACTAAGTTTGTGCTTGATGCAACAAGTTGTTTGGGTAATGTATTAGCTATGTTCTGTCCTTGCGTTGATTGCCGGAATGTGGTTCATCAGTCAAATGAGACAGTGTTGGAGCATCTAGTGATTAGAGGGATGGATCTTAAGTACAAGAGAAGCAAATGTTGGAGTAAACACGGGGAGATAAGTGATAAGACAACAGATGTTCATGCGTCTGAAAATGAGGCTTATGACTTGTTTAGGACAGCTTTTATGGAAAGCGAGGGCAAGCAATCATCTCAGCAGAATAATGTAGAAGAGTCTGAAACAGTAGAGAGTAAAGAAGAAGGGGAGTTTAGGAAGAAGTTAGAGGATGCAGAAACTCCATTGTACTCTACATGTATGAACTACACAAAGGTTTCTGCAATCATGGGACTGTACAGGATAAAGGTCAAGAGTGGTATGTCAGAGAACTTTTTTGATCAGCTTCTGACACTAGTGCATGACATGCTACCTGGAGACAATGTGCTGCCTAAGTCTACAGATGAGATGAAGAAGTTTCTGAAGATTTTTGGTTTTGGTTATGATTCTATTCATGCTTGCAGAAATGATTGTATCCTTTATCGGAATCAATATGAGGAGTTGGTGAGCTGCCCAAGATGTAGTGAATCAAGATGGGAAAAGGACAAGCATACAGGTGAGGAGAAGAAAGGTATTCCAGCAAAGGTGCTAAGGTATTTTCCGATAAAAGACAGATTTAGGAGGATGTTTAGATCAAAAAGGTTGGCTGAGGACTTGTGTTGGCACTCCACTAATGCTAGTCAAGATGGTACAATGCGGCATCCAGTAGACTCTTTGACATGGGTTCAAGTAAATGATAAATGGCCAGAGTTTGCAGCAGAGGCAAGAAACCTTAGGCTAGGTCTTTCTACTGATGGGATGAATCCTTTCTCCATCCAAAACACCAAGTACAGCACATGGCCAGTGCTGCTAGTCAATTACAATATGGCTCCAACTGAGTGTATGAAAGCTGAGAACATAATGTTGACAATGTTGATACCTGGACCAACCGCACCAAGCAACAACATTGATGTATATCTACAGCCTCTGATAGATGACCTAAAAGACTTGTGGAATGAAGGTATGGTAGTTTATGACTCATTTAAGAAGGAGAGTTTCACTCTAAGAGCTATGCTTCTATGGAGTATTACTGACTATCCAGCATTAGGTACATTAGCAGGATGTAAGGTGAAGGGGAAGCAAGCTTGTAATGTTTGTGGGAAGGATACACCTCACAGATGGTTAAAGTTCAGTCGCAAGCATGTTTATATGGGAAACAGAAGGCGTTTGAGGCCTGATCATCCTTACAGGCGTAGGAAAGTTTGGTTTGACAATACAGTTGAGCTTGGTACTACTAACAGGATTCAAAGTGGAGCAGAAATCTATGAGTGCCTTAGAGATTTTAGGAATGAATTTGGTAGACCTTTAGAAAAGAAAGGCAAGAGAAAGAGGATGGAAGCAGATGATGATGATGATGATGTGATTGCAGCTGAAGAGTATGAAGAAGATGATGATCAATGGCGGTGGAAAAAAATGTCAATCTTCTTTCAGTTGGCTTACTGGAAGGTTAGAATAATCATTACTATCATCAGTTTTAATTTAAACTAATCTTTATTATCTGTTAATGAGTGTCTAACAATAACTTGTAATAATTTTTTGTAGGATTTGCCTGCAAGGCATAATATTGATGTAATGCACGTGGAAAAAAATGTTTCTGATGCACTGCTATCAATTCTGATGCATAATGGGAAATCCAAGGATGGTTTAAAAGCAAGAAAAGACTTAGAGGACATTGGTATTCGTAGCAACTTACACACACAGAAGCGTGGGAAGAGAACTTACTTGCCTCCAGCTGCGTATTGGCTTTCTAAGGAGGAAAAAAGGAAATTCTGCAGAAGATTATCCAAATTCAGAGGGCCAGATGGATATTGTGCCAACATATCCAATTGTGTGTCAGTAGATCCTCCCAACATTGGTAGTATGAAGTCACATGACCACCATGTTATGCTGCAAAATTTGTTTCCTGTGGCATTGAGAGGTTTACTGCCTAGAGGACCTCGTATTGCAGTGAGTCGTATCTGCAATTTCTTCAATAGATTGTGCCAACGTGTAATTGATCCAGAGAAGCTTGTTACATTAGAATCAGAGGTTATAGAAACAATGTGCCAGTTGGAGAGATACTTTCCACCATCACTTTTTGACATTATGTTTCACCTGCCAATACATCTAGCAAGAGAAGCACGCTTGGGTGGCCCTGTACACTTCAGATGGATGTATCCATTTGAGAGGTAATGTTAATGGTCTTACTATAGTTATACAATAAACTATTTGGCTGATTTCTCTTATAGTTACTCATAGTAATTATTGTTATTGCCATTAGGTACATGAAGACACTTAAGGCATATGTGAAGAATTTTGCAAGGCCAGAAGCTTGTATGGCTGAGGGCTACTTGGCTGGTGAATGCATTGCATTCTGTTTGGAGTTCCTCCAGAAATCTGTTCCAGTACAAGAAACTCTTAATCGTAATGAAGATCTTGAAGCAGATCAACAAATTCTTGAAGGCAGACCACTACATAAAGCTACAGAAAAGACTCTTACAGATAAAGAACGAGACATAGCTCATCGGTATATTCTCATGAATACAGCAGTCATGGAACCATACATTGAGTAAGTGCAAAGCTAATACAGATTTATGTTTAAAAGCTTGATGATTAAAGTGTAACAAAGAATAACTTTATTGAAAACAGGTTGCATTTGGAAGAACTGCAAGCTACAGATGTAAGATGTGCAAAAAATGAAACACTCTTGTGGAAATATCACACAGAAAGGTTCCCACAATGGATCAAAGATAAGGTTAGAAGAATGTCAATTGTGTAGTGTTTTTTAATTTCATGTCATTGACATTATGTTTCTCTGTTTCATTTTAGATACCAAGTAACTCAAAAGATCATTCTAGTAGACTGAGATGGCTTGCATTTGGACCAAGACATATTGCTCAAAGTTACAAGGGGTATATAATTAATGGTCAGCGGTTCCACACTGATGATGTCAAGAGGAAAACCCAGAATAGTGGAGTAACTTATGAAGCATTTTCTATGTGTAGATCAAGTGCTAAAGATACTAGACAAATGGCAGATATAGTATCATTCTATGGAGTGATAAAGGAGATCTTGATGCTGGACTACCACATGTTCCAGATTCCAGTTTTTAGGTGTATTTGGGCTAACAAAGGGAATGGAGTGAAAGAGGAGGATGGTTTCACACTTGTCAATCTCCATATGAACCAGTCAGCATACTTAAATGATCCTTTCATTTTGGCATCGCAAGCTAAACAAGTTTTTTACTCTAGAGAAGATGACAGCTCACCTTGGTATGTTTGTATGAGGGCGCCACCAAGAGGGTACCATGAGCTAGAAACAGTAGAGGAGTTTGTTTCAGGACCATTATCAGTTCAGCCAATTGAAGATTTAGGAGATCAATCATCTGACGACGAGAGTTTTTGTGTTAGGTCTGATTGTGAAGGTGTTATAGTAGAGGAATAATTAAAACTTTATTTTTGTTTCAGGTAATCAAAAACAATGAACCAAGTTACTGCAATCCGTCGAAGTAAGCGCCAGGCAGGCCTTGATGTCACTCCTGTAGTGTCATTGAAGAAGAAGAAGATAAACAAGAAGTCTATCATTGAAGAGAATGAAAGAGACAATGAAGAAGAGAGAATAGAAGTGGCTACTGAAGGAGATGATGGTGTAGAGGAAGAAGATATTAATGGAGAAGAAGATATTGAAGAACAAGAGAATGGAGCAGAAGATAATGAAGAACAAGAGAATGGTCAGTCTCAAGAGAATGAAAGAGAGAATGAAGTGGAAGATCCTATCCCTCCTTCCACAGCAGGTGCCTCTGAAACCCAGACAAACCAGTCAGACAACAAAAAGAGGAAGTCAAGAGGTCCAACTAGAATGCGTAAAGTGGCAAAGAATCTTGAGGATAAGGTAGAAGTGGAGTTTAATGCTCTTGGTGAGCATGTTGGTAAGGGATCAGTGACACTCTCCTCTTTCCTTGGTCCTCTAGCAAGAGAGCATGTGCCTGTACTGCTAGATGACTGGAGACAGCTTGATCAAAGGACAAAAGATGTTATGTGGGAAGAAATTCAGGTTATTTTTCACCTTTGCTTGAATAAAAGTTATATGAGAGTGTTGTTTGTGTCTTAACTTGGCAATGTTTGACAGGGGAGGTTTAATTTAAAAGATGATTGGCAGAAAGAATCAGTATTTAAGCAAATGGGTGGTCTGTGGAGGGCTGCCAAATCCAAGCTTGTTACCAAAGTGAGATCTACTAAAAGCAAAGTTGCTCTACAACAACTGAAGCCTAGCAACGTCCAATGTACATCAGCCTGGAACAGTTGGGTTAAGAACAAAAACACAGCAGCTTTTAAGGTTATTGTGATAACTCCTTTGATTAATTTCTTTAAAATAGTTATACTCATCTGACTCTTTTTGTCTATAGGAACGAAGTGAGAAATACAGGCAACTGAGGAAGGGTCAAATTCCTCATACTACAAGCCGCAAAGGAATGACTCGCTTAGCTGATGAGATGGTATGTATTTTGTTTTGCATTGGGTACTTTTATTAGTAATTTACTCATGAGATGGTATATGTGCATGAACTTGTAGAAAAAAAACAGTTCTGATCCTAGAAAAGTTACTAGAAGTAAGGTGTGGATAGCAGGACATACACATTCTGATGGGAGACCTGTGAGGGAAGAGTTTGCAGAAACTATTGTAAGTAGCACTTAAAATCTTTTTCAATTGTTATTCAGGTTACTTTAAAGATTGTTTCTACATATTGTGATATAAAATTTGATGTCAGGAAATGATCAAGACCATTGATAGTGAAATGGACTCCACCACATCCACGGATAATGTTAGGGAAGATGCTGTGAGTCAGGTACTAGGAAAAGACAGACCAGGAAGAGTTAGGGGGATGGGCAGAGGAGCAACTGTTACTAAGTTAGCATTCTTACAGACAAGAGACTCTCATGTCAAGAATCTTGAAGCTTCTCAAGCAGAATTGAAAAGTAAGCTTGAAAGTTTGCAGAATCTGGTTAGTAACTTAGCTAGTAAAAAGGTAAACCTTTTGGCACTCATTGTTTCACAATGCCAACTTATATAAGTTTTGGTTAATTAAGTGTTTTTTTGGTCATTGCAGAGACAGACTGATGATGTTTCCATGTCTGACTTAAGCAATGTTAGCAAAAGAGGTGTTAGGTGCCAGCTTCTTGATTGGTGTTCAAATGTTGAGGTGGTTGTTGGTGAAGGAGAATTCTGCTCCAGTGAACACACATATAAGATTGGTAGAATACCATTGGGTCGCAATGCAGCTGCTGTACTTGTGAAGTCCACAACAGTTATACATGCATCTGTCTGGAGACCTACTCCAACCATTTTCACACTTAATGAAGCTGTTGGACATAAAATTGCATGGCCACTTGACAAGATTATATTGGATGAGGATATTAACTTGTCCCAACCTACTAAGTCTGTCGAATCAGAGCAGGTAAATTACAACTACTATTGAGTTCCTCTTAAATTCATATTGGGTAGATTACTAATATAGATATATGTTTGCATGATTCATTAGCCAACAGATGAATCACTAGGAAGAATTAAAATCTTTCAGTATTGGAGTGGAGATGATGATTTGATTGCTGAAGGTATGTTGTTGTCAACTGACCATAATGAATTGGTGGATGGTAGACCTCTGGGACATGGTGCTGCAGTTGTTAAGGTCCTGGAGGTGGTTAAACCTGAGGCTTATCTGTGGAGACCAAATCCTCCAATCTCATTGATGAGTGATGCACTAAATGAGACCATCGCATGGCCTATTGATAGAATACAACTCCTTGATGTACCTGCAAATGATGAATCAACCAGAAAATCACCTCAAGTAAGTTTCTCTGCAACTAGTTTTTAATTTAAATGGTATGAATACTTAAACTTGGAAATCTTAGGGTAGTCACATGTTGTATTGGATTGTGTTGATGTTGCTGTGATGTTAGTCTGATGTAATTCTTTTTATAATGTTTGATTTTAGAGTGCAACTACTCCCAGTTCTACTACTCCCAGCACTGCTAGTAGCAAAGGTGCTAAGCAGAAGTGTTTTCTATTAGATATTGATAACACTGGGCAGAGAGTTGCAATAGGTCGGGTGTCTTCAACTGATCCAGCAGAGAAGGTCCATCACGTCCCTTTAGGTGCCAACGCTAGCAAGGTCTGGGTAGAGGTTTCCAAGGTTGAGGGTGCACGAGTGTGGAGAGCAAATTCTGAAGTTAAATTCATTGCTGATGCAGTAGGAACCACTGTGGCTTGGCCTAATGACAAGATTATATTCATGTGATTTGAGTTTTAGTACTTTTGAACTAAGTGTTTAAAAATGTAAAACTTATGTTTGACTCTTTTGGAACAAATAATTAATGAAGTATTTGATAAAATAAACCCAGATTTTAATATTTTTATATCGATTCAAATTATATAAAACAGAAATATAAAAAAATTAATATAATGCTATTATAAATTAATAATTAACATAACATTGCCTAAAACGTTGTTAATAATATTATTCATAACAACATAACTACGCTATTATATAATATTTAATTGCATTTACAAAAGCGCTATTGTATATAACAGTTACATAGCATTACAAAAAAGCGCTATCTAAAGTGTCTGACCTATTATGACGGGCGCAGAAATAGCGCTTGTCAAAACGCTATAGTATCGTTAGATAGCGTTATTCGGGTGCTACGAAAAACCCTTTTTCTTGTAGTGGTAGTCTCATTAGTTTGATGTGTATCTGTTTTTGACCCATGATTGTCTATTCATCTTAGGTTTAGACTTTGTGATTCTCTAGATATGTTTGTGTATGGAGAATTCGTGACCCTATGTCGCATCCTTTGCTCAGTAATCTTATATTGCTCGCCCCTCTTTTTATTTTTGTAGGTAACCGTGAGATGTAATTCCTGGAGTTGTCGTTTGGTGTTGGTGTTAGAGCTAGAATTTCTTCATTTTTTATTCTATTCGTTATTGATTTATCGAATTTGTAATTCGTTTTTATAACGAATGTTATAACGGATGCGAGCGAGATTGCATAAATGACAAAGAAACACGACACAGATTTAACGTGGTTTGTGGATGTTGGAATCCGTAATTAAGAATTTCAATGTTTCTTATCCGGTCTCTAGTCGTGATAGTCGAGTATCAATGAAATGCGAAAGAACGAACTTGAGAAAAAATAAATTTGTATTGATTTTCACAAAAAATTTCGGATCCCATTTACAATGTCATTCTACCCCTTTTTATAGTTACAAGCCCGGGATCCGGGATCCAGGATCCGGGACAATAAATGACCGCCTCTTTCACGCCGCTAATCACACATCTCTTTACTACTTTCGTTTTGAATTTCCAAGTCAAACAATCCCGCAATCATCGCCTCTCCTTTACTCCACGAGATTAGTCAGTTTCCCGAAGTGAAGATTCGTAAACACATGGGCCTTCAATTGGGCCTGTTCTTTCTCGACAAGCAAATAATATCGGTCTTAGCATTGTTGAAGCCCAATACTCAAAGGTTCTCGAATATTACCCATTTTTTTCTCGAGTCGGGCGGATCACGAGATCCGACACCAACAGTTTGCCCCCCAAGTGTTCCGAGGTACTCGTACCTCGGGAGACTTAAGATATCGAGAATCTTCCAGAATGGTAATAAGGTTTAAATACCACAATATTTCGGGATTCTCTTTGGGAATGGGGTGACACTTCGAGATCCTAGAGTTTTCACTTTTGCCGCCCAAGAAAATCCTATAAATACGGATGGACCCTTTGGGTTCCACACCTGCTCTCATTACTCGCGACTTGACCCCGTATTTAAAAGGTAAACTCCTCAACACTTTCTTCTTTATTCTCTCTTGATTATTCGTAGAAATCTTAAATCTTGTTTATAATTTACGGTAGGAGTTGCGTAGTGAGATCATTCAGATAGGTTTAGGTCAGAAATCCTCGTCAATTTCTTAGATTTTTAATTGTAGCTTGAGGAATCGTCCGTCGTTATCTCTGTCTCCACGATGTTTCTTCAAATTCTGACGACTCTTAGCCTTTCTCGGAAGAATAGCCAGCGCTTGTTCTTCACGTTTTCTGGGTTTGCGTGAAGATCTTCAACGTTTTCTTGCTGTGTTCTTCATCAATCTCGTTAGATCTTTCCTGTCGCTTCGAATCTCTACAGTAATCGTTATGCCTCTGAAGAAAATCTATGGTGAATCGTTCCTTCTCGAAGGCCAATTCGGAAAATATACGTCCAATGTCCTCGATGAGTGAAGCTCGCTTTGATGAGAAGAGGTTGCCAAATTTCTCTACAAATCAAACTAACTCTTCCAGCACCAACCGAATCTCCGGAGTCACCTCCTCCGAGATATACTTGTGCCTTTGAAATTTTCTCCTTGGAATGCAGTCTATATTTCCCATTGCTTGATCTCCTCATTGAGCTAATGCATGAGCTTGGAATAGCCCTACCTCAGCTATGTCCCAACGTAGTCTGGATCATCCTATTCCTCCAGACTTTGGTCGAAGAGAGTGGTTACAGGCTTTCCTTGTCTGACATTTTTCACTTATATACGGTGAAGAAAGGACGAACAGACGGAATATATTATCTCGGTCCTCGGAAATATTTCTGAGTTTTTAGCGACTTTCCCGAGAAAGACGAGCAATGAAGGAAAGCATACTTTTTCTTCCTTGTCAACGAACTCATTTATGGCCGAAATACGGCCTACTTCGCCGAGATTGGACTCGCCGTCCCGGTAGATAGTGCTAGGAGTATAATAACTATATATTATATTATATTACTTTGCTCTTCGCTTAACTGACCAATTTTTATCGATGTTTTTAGTTCCGTATGAAAGCAATCCGCTCTCCCAAACCTTCGCAAAGCACTTTATCAAAATCTGCAAAGGCAGAGACTTCGCGTGGGACTCATTCACTTGCCAGAGAATTCGTGATTCGGGTCTCCGGATTCGCTCTCGCTCAGACCTCGCAACTTCTTCCCCAATTCACGAACCAACCATTCCTCTTGCAGACATGTCTCCACTCTCATAGCGTAAAAAAAAACTTGAGAAGGAGAGAGCCCTTAGGGAGAAAGCGGATATGGCCATGATGGTGAAGGCCCTTGACGAAGGTAAAACCAGGGTTTCTTCTGGGAATGGGAGAGCTTCTGTTTCCGCTGCTCCGACCTCTGAGTTTAAGACTCTTGATTGTCAAATTCAGGATAAGGGGTCAACTGGCGGGAAAGACTACGGAGTCCGTATCTCAGATTCTCGCTCATCTGCCTCCAAGTCCTCCCTGAGCAGAGGGCACACAGAAAAGGGCCCTAGTGTGACTTTCGAAAAGAACCGTAAACATCAGGAATCAGAAGTCCCTCCCCTTCACCGCTCAAGTCGCTCTCATCTGAATGTTTCAGACGAGAAGGATGTCCCTCCAGTCTGGTTTTAATTAATTATGTTTTGTTAATTGTTAATTATTTTTAATATTAACTAAGATATAGATTTAATCTAATATAAATATTATTTTGATATGAAATTGTATCACTTAAGATGAAGTGAGTAGAATTAAAATCGAGTTTATAATGATGAAATAGATAGTTAAACTATATCGCAAAATAAAATGTGTAAGATGGAAATTTATTTTTTTCTTTCTAAATACTAAATTAAATATAGAAAAAGTGTGTGGTGATATATCATGGATTTTACCATTTTTACCATGATATAAGTATGGTTTTTAGAGACTTTTTGTTAATTCTACAGTCTTTTATAGTCTTTTTCAGGTTTAAGCACGTTCGGGGCCAATTTGGAGATTATAGATCATTCAGGAGCAAAACCGAGAAGTTATGCTACAAGAGCAATTCGGAGACCAAAATTCGTGTAGATGTCGATCAACACCACCCCTGGTGTCGGTCGACACCAATATCTGACGGCAATTCAATTTCGCGTCTCTTTGAAGTTATGAAGATTTGCAGAATCGCCCCAGAACTTGTCTCTATTTTTAAAGAAGTCCCTGGACATTTTAAGAACATATATATATATATATATATATATATATATATATATATTTTTAAGGTTTTGGTTTAGAAACATCTATCTATCTTTGATTCTATTGTATTCTTAGGAACTTGAACCCTTTGGGAGATAATTGGAGAGGGCTCCCCTCCAGAGAAGATCTTTCTAAACTCTAATCTCTTCTTAATTTCTCTTAATGAAATTCTATTCAATCATGTTGTTTGTTTCAATCTCCATATCTGAGTAGTTTGTATGTTAGGTTTAGAGATTCTCATTAGGGCATTAGGGATTTAGATGAATTAGTAGATCGATAACCTGTTAGGATAATATCTTTAGAGTTCTTCATCTTTGATTGTTCTTAATGCTAATTCTAGATTAATCACCTAGAATTTGATCTTTAGATAATAGGTTAGATCCGAGAGGGCGCCTGTTACTGGAACTATCTTAGGTGGGCAGAATTACTAGATTCATTCCAGAGGTGGTCTAGGAATATCTGGGAACATATCAAACCTATTATTAATGCTAGTCTAATTTTAGGAGTTTACATTCGAGAGGTGGAACTTCATGATATTAGATTATTAGGTTTAGTTAGTCAATTCATACGAGAGGTGGTTGGCTATATATTAGTGATTTGAGTTCTAGAACGGTTCGATAATAATCCTAATTAATTTGCTAGATTTACTATTTATTTATTTCTTGAAAAATCCCTAAGTCTGACGTTTTGCTCTTCTGAATTTACAACCGATTTTACTTGTTTTTTTTTTTTTTAATATTCTTATTTTCTGTTTAGCTTAATACAAAACTTGCTAGTCTATTGTGTGAACACGAGAGCTTTGTGAACTTCGGCAATGACGCCAAATTTGATGTGAGTCAAATTAGACCTAAGACTACTCTCTCAAATAAGAGATCAATTGCAGTACTTTAGGGTCGAATTCCTCAAATTTCTCTTATTCACACAATAAGCTAACAATTTCGAAATTAAGCTAGATAGAATATTAAGCAAATTAAAATAAAATAAAGCAATTAAATCTGGGATAGATTCAAATAGATTAAAACGTCAGGTTTAGGAAAATTCTCTGAAAATAAACTAATAGTAAATCTAGCAAATTAATTAGTATTATTTATCGAACCGTTCTAAAACTCAAATCACTAATGTATAACCAACCACTTCTCGAATGTATTGACTAACTAAACCTAATATCATAAAGTTCCACCTCTCGAGTGTAAACTCCTAAAATTAGACTAGCATTAATAACAGGTTTGATATGTTCACAGATATTCCTAGACCACCTTTCGAATATATCTAGTAATTTCTGCCCACCTAAGATAGTTCTAGTAACAGGCGCCCTCTCGGATCAAAACATATTATCCTATGATCAAGTTCTAGTTAGCTAC